TATATGTCCTCCCTTGTACGAACAAGAGTTGCCAATGAAGAGAGTCATACATGCATGTGTCTGCACACACACGCACATACACTCACTTAGTCCGGATCCCAGTCATACGGAATATCTTTTGGCTTCTCAAATGCCCTTCCACATCTTGAAATCCTCTACTTTTCCATATTTCAATTTTTAATACAAGAAATGTGTACATATTAAAAATAAATCTTGGCCCCATTCTCTATAACCCACTTTGCTTCCAAAAAGTAACAATTCTTAACAATTCTGAATATTTCTTCCAACAGTTAATGGTATCAGACATAATAATCTCCAAATAATGATTATACTCTTTTATTGCACTCAGCCACATCTCAGCCTCTTTAAAATTTATTTTTATTTTTGAGACAAAGCCTCACTGAGTTACTGAGTTTCCTGGCAGGGTTCAAACTTGCAATCTTCCTGCCTTAGTCTACCAGAGTGCTAGGGTTACAAGAATGTGCCACCATGCCGGGTTAATTGGTTAAAAGGAGTTAAATATACTCCTTTGATTTCACGCATGTATTATTTCTTGATTTCAAATTTTGATGTTACCTGATTTCTACTGAAAGATGTTTCGCCTTCTCTGCTCTCCCTCAACAGAGCACTGTGACACACACAGCTATCATTTCTCACTCCCACCAAGAGGATTACAATTCCATTCTTCTAATCTGGAGCTCTATGTGCTTGGGGTGCCACTGTTGTCAGAATGTCATCTATTACTGCATGTCATCATGCTGATGCTTTCTTTTGACTTTCCTTTGCATTAGATGTCTTCCTCATTCTTGGTTATCTCTCTTATTTTGCAGGGGGGTATCCCGGTGGCTTCCTAAGTAATAGTATTTGGAAAATAACTTTCTGATAACTTGAATTACTCTAGAGTTTGAGGTTGGGAATCATTGTCATTCAAAGGCCAAATCCCTTCTAGCTCCAAAGCCATTCCCATCTGAATACATGGTCCTTTTGCTAAATTTTTAGAAATCTGTAGAATCTTCTTTGATCTCAGTGTTCTCAAATTTTACAGGGACGTGCACTGGCTTGGATATATGTTCATTCATTTTTCTGGGAACTTTCTACGACATCGGTTTCTATGGGCCCTTTCCATCTGGAAACATATATCCTTTAACTGTGCAATACACTCTTGGATTACTTCTACTTCTATCTCTTCTCCTTTATTTGCTTTATCTCTGTTCCTGTCATTCCAACACTGAATTTTCCAAACTGGTCCTCTGCCTAATCTTTTTCTCTCCTATTTCCATTTTATCTTCCAAACTTCTACAAAGTAATTTCTAATGTTTTTAACTCTAAGAGTTCTTTGGATATTATTGTTGTTTTGGAAGCACCTTTATTGTCTTTTTGATAAACTGGAATGAAAGTTTGTTGTGATGGTTAAGCTTAAATGTCAACTTGACTGGCTTAGGAGATTGGCTTGGGGATTGGTAGAACACCAACTGCTGTGTTTGGGTGGGTTATAAAGGCAGAACTTTGGGTTCTGTATGTGGTCCCTCTTTCATTGGGGCAGTGTTGCCCCGCTCTGCTTTTGGCTGTCATGAACTACTCATCTTTCTATACTACACCCTTCTACCATGATGCTTCTGCCTTGGAACCAGGTTACCATGGACTGAATTCCCTGAAACTGTGAGCCAAATTAAATCTCCTCTCCTGTAAGTGTTGGGTATTGTGTTGCAGCAATGGAAAGCTGGTCAATACACTTGTCTCATGTCCTTGATGATACAGATTGTAGTCCATCATTCTCAGTTTGCTTTATGCCAGGGATGGCGAACCTTTTAAAGCTTTCAATGGTGCAAAGAGCTTGCTGTGGCTAGAGTGCCATAGGTTCGCCACAACTACTTTACGGGATTTGTTTTAATATCTGATTACGTGTTAGAGTATTTTCTCAGATTTTTCACAGTCCTTGGTTTCCTGTTTAAGTGTAGATGAGGATGCTGCTTGAAATACATGCATGAGGCCTAGTGAAGTAGGTTTGACAGAGAGACCAGGCCAGGAATTACTTAGGAATTCCTCTACAGGTGCACCTTAAAAATCTTTCCTCCAGGGGTCAGATTCCCCAGATAAGATCTTTTTAATTTCCTTCCCTGGAGGGAGGCTCTCAAACTTCTGGATGTGTAGGGAATATACACAAACTCTCTATTTTACTTCCTCCTACTTTCCATACAGAACCTCTAGGCTCAAGAGTCCCAATCTCGTTCAATCAAGAAAACACTGTATTTTCCTCTCCCCAGAAAATAAAAAATTAGCTGGATAGCGGAGAGGCATTTACTTAAAGAGAGGCTTCCTAGCATTTGAGCAGCTTAAAATGCTTATAATCAATTCTACCTATTTTAATATTGCCTTTGACCCCACTGAGGTACCAGCTGCTGCTAATTCCCAAGCCTTTTAAAGCTTCTATGATATAAACTATCTTGGCTCCTGATTTAGTAGTGTGGTATGAAACTGCCAACTCAAGTCACGTGTACTTTCCAGTACCCAAAATGGTCAACTTAGCCAATGTGGATACATACTTAAATGGACCATGTTCTCTCAACAGTATTAGTGAGGCTTTGGGAAAGAGCCACACTAAGTATTTTTCTGGAATCTCTATTTTTTATTTTTAAACACTCAAATGACTTCAGTCCACCTGAAATAATTTCTCTAAGATAATATCTTAGTGATTCTGGGCAAATTGTTCAAACATATAATGGGTTCAAAAATGTGATAACTTGAACAGTTGAATATTGTGAAAAATAGGAAAAATGTCACATGGCCATCCATATGTACTGTATTTAAGGTCTATGCTATCTTTTTATATAAAGATACCACTTCACTATTAATAAGGCAAGGCATTTTTCCATCAAAGAGAATGCACTGGAAGATAGGGCTATTTTCTCCTTGTCCTCCTTGTTCCTATTTACAAATCAGCTCCTGCGTTACAGAAAGTGCAGTAATTTATGCTTCTCGGTGATGAGTGATCATCAATCACTAGATAAAATGTAATAAGTGGTTCTAGCCACCTTGTATCCTAACAAAACAAAGAAGGCTTTATGCTGTTGGAGATGCTGTGTGCATGTGTGTGTGTATGCGACTGTATATGAATTTTTAATATAATTTATATCGACAAGCATCTGGATTATGCTAATAGCAAGTTAGCAGGCCACATCATTCAGAAGCCACAGGAAATTAATATAGAAGTTAGGAAATTGGATGCAACTTCAGACGGTGAAATATCCAGGTCCTAATGAAAAACACTGATAACACAGTACTATCACCTTTAAAGTGTTTGGAAAATATGAAGCTTTCTTTTTACACCTTCACAGGCTGAAAACACTATGCAGCCCTGCATAGACTCCTCACTCCAAAAATGCTAGAACCTTAACATCATCTGGGATTCAGGAAACGTGGTCCTCAAGCCAGTTTCTTCCCAGGTTTTGTGACCTCAGGCATGATATTCAGGCCTCCATAGCTTCTGTTCATGTATGAAGCTATAATCCCTACCAATCTTTTGCCCTTACCCTCATTGCTGGCACAGAATCAAAAGTATATAAATAAAAAACAGCTTTTTTGTTAGAACAATTTAAATATTAATTGAACATTTTTTGAGAATTTAGTTTGAATCCCCATCAACTTCATGAAAATATTACCATTAAAATTATCAATTTCAGCAAGAAATATGATAATCAAAAGTACAGCAATGTAAGTGTACTTTAAAATTCCAAACGGTCGGATAATGTAAAACTCCTAGGTAAAACAGTTATTTTAAAAAGTTTTAATTTTTAAGTTTAAAAATTTCATGAAGAGATTTGTTAAGTGGGGGTGAGGCATAAAATTATAATATTTTTAGTATCGTACATAATCAAGAGCTCACCTATAAACGAATTTTTGCAATATATATGCACAATTTTACTGCACTTTTTTACCTTATACAGATATTTTAATAAATTAAGTTGGCAATTAAAATGAGTAAGGTAAGGTTTGCACATTCTACTCAGAAGTAGCATATTTCTGCACTAGGATTTGTGTGTATTCTGTATGCTTTGATCTATTGTGCCTTCGTTCAAATCCTAGCTTTATCACTATCTTGCTTGGTGGACTCCAGGCAAGACATTTATTTGGGGTCAATAGTCTCACTTCTAATGTGCTAAGAAAAAAGTATTCAAAAAAGAAAATAGGAAATTAATATATGAAAAACTGCTGCTGAGGCTAATTAGCTCAATACTTAAGATAGTGCAGGAAAGAAGCAGACTAGGGCCCTACTCTATTTTGTTTTCCATATTTTTTTTTCTCTGAACCGCATCCAGTCTTTACCTCCACAGGAAATACCCTCCTTTATCTTTCTCAGGCTTTGCTTTTAACCAAATATCAGAATGGAGGATAGATTGGGTTTTTATGTTTACGTCAAGCTTTTCCTCTTGTGGAGCAACATCAAGAAAAGAAAGCCCATCTGAAGGTGCTGGACGGATGCAGATTGGAATCCCTGCGCGGCTTGGCTTCCAGAGCCTACAGGTGGGAAAGCTCACACCCGATGGGGACAGAGCGCTAAGTCGCAGCTCTCAAAAGCACAGAGCGAGACCTGCGCTCTTCGCGCGGCGTGCTTCCTTTAAAGTCTACTTGCTACCACAGCGCCTGCAAATGCCAGCCAGGTGTTGGAAAAACGGGGAATTCCTAGTCCCAAGTATCTGTAGTGTCACTACTGCAACACACACAGGAACTGGCTAGGGGGTGGTGCCGGCTTTCCAACCAACCCGGAGAGCAGCCACACGGCGCCAGGGCTGTCTCTTGGTCTCTTGGCAGAGAAGGCTGCGAAGGCGGCCCCGGCTCGGCCCGAGTGGGCTTTTGCTCAGGGCAGCGCAAGGCAGAAGTGGTCTGTCTGCGATGCACCACAAGAATCCCACCGCGGCCACGCAGCTCTGCAGCACACAGTTCCCGGACGGTCCCTCCCCATCCCCTCTCTGGGCGACAGAGAGAGCCCTGGGGTCCCTTACCATCCTGCAGGACCAGGGTGGGCTGCACCGCCTGCACGCGGAAATGCCTGGCCCTCCAGCCGGGGCTGGGCGCCCGCACCACCTCGCTGTCCGAGAGCCAGGTCACCGTCTCAAAGTTGTCCCCCCGAGCCAGGGCTTCGGCCTCGGCGTGGTGCACGGCCACCTGGTCGAACTGGTAGAGCCCTCCCGAGTGGTCGAAGTGCACGTGGGTAGCCACCGCCAGCAGCGGCCGGCGCGTCGCATCCTCCTTGGCAGCACGGTCCTGCAACAGGCCGGAGGAGTACAGGTACTCGGGGAGGCTGCGCAGCCCCAGGCCTGTGTCGATCACCAGGTCCTGCTCGGACCCGCGCACCAGCCAGATGTTGGCGCGGTTGCCCGACTCGTAGAAGCGTTCCTGGATCCAGAAGATGCCATCGCCCAGGGACTTGTGGGCGTACCACTCGAGCGCCGACATGCTGGGCAGGGGTGCGGCCGGGCGCGCGTGCCTCCTACAGGCGGTCCAGACCCGGGGCGCTGCGGCGGTATCACCAGGTCCTGCTCGGACCCGCGCACCAGCCAGATGTTGGCGCGGTTGCCCGACTCGTAGAAGCGTTCCTGGATCCAGAAGATGCCATCGCCCAGGGACTTGTGGGCGTACCACTCGAGCGCCGACATGCTGGGCAGGGGTGCGGCCGGGCGCGCGTGCCTCCTACAGGCGGTCCAGACCCGGGGCGCTGCGGCGGTGTG